ACTACTTCTTTATTTCTTAAAGTACTTATACTATAAAAATTAACTTTAAAAGAGGCTAATTTAAAATATATTTAAACTTACTTCTTAGTTAGTAGTAATATAAATATTTTTTCTTAATAATAATATCCTTTTATAGTACCTTTTATACTTTCTATTTTTTTAGTAGATTTAATATATTACTTATAGACTTCTTCTTTATATTCCTCCTTAGTAGTTATAATAGTAAACTATTTTTAGTTTTTATAGTAATTTTTATTACTATAAGTAGTAGAAAGTTAGGTTTACTAATAATATCTTCTACTATATTAAAACTAAGTAATTACTACTATAACTCTATTTATAGATATATAGGGGTTTTAGAAATTTCACTATCCTTTAAATACTAACTAGATATAGCTAGTATTAATAAGATACTCTTAAATAATTAAGGTAGTATTATTATTTTAAAAACTTATTATAAGAGAATTAAAAAATATATCCTCTATAATTACTATAATAAATACTTATAACTTAGTTATACTAATAAGTAAACTAATTATCCTCTAGACTTATTACTAAATAGTATAATACCTTATACTTATAATAATCTATTATAATAATTTATTTCACTCTAACTTCTCTTTATATTTATTACTATATCTATATTAGTAATATATACTATTTAATTATATATAATAAATAACCCTTTTAAGGAGATCTCCTCTTTAGTCTTACCCCCTCTTAAATATAAGCTAATATATAGTAGCTCTATTATTCTTTTTACTATAGATACTTCTTTTATTAAATAGTAGTAAAAAACTTATTACTATAAATAGAGAGTAGAAGATAGTATTAAGATCCCTTAAGAATCCCTAACTCCTAATATATACCTAAAGAGAGTAACTAAAATCTTTAATAAATCTTATAAATAAGTAGATATTTAGGTTAATTTCTATAAAAAAGTAAAAATCTAAAAGGGAATTTTTTATTTTATTTATAATATATATAATTCTATCCTTATCTATCCTAATATTATTAATTTAAGGATTAACTTAATAAATAATTATTTTTATAAA